CTTGCATTTCCCCTTTGCTCCCCAGTATTTCCCGCCAAAAACACGGGTTGTCCAGTGTTTTCGCAAAGAGGCCGTCCAAAAACACAGAGTTTTTTCCAGATTTTCGGCAAAAGGAGGCAGGAAGCCCAAACCAGCAAAAAGCCGGCAGGGGGAATGGAGCCTGGTACCCCTGTTTTGCGACACCGGCTCCCCGAAGACTACGTTTAGTGGAACATCATCAAATTGCAGCGCGGCACGTGGGGGTACCCCCCATACAAGGGGGGGGGTTATCCTCTATCCTCTCTTAGGTGTCCGCACGCCGAGCAATGTCTGCGGACTTCCTTTGATAACCATAGCAATAATCGCAATAATCATAATAGTAGCAACAATCATGGTAGCAGTAGTAGCAAAAACAGAGCAGAAAGAACAAACCAACAAACAAGGAGAGAAGAGAGAGACAAGCAGAAAGAGCGCACACACAGCTTTCCTGCCATGATGGGGTGTTTCTTTTTGACATTGGTCTTGTTGTTTGTTTTTCAGTATTGCTTTTGTTGCTTGGTTTGTTGCAACATGTTGGTCAAAATGTTGTGCAACATTTGGCACATGTCGCGCAATACTTTGCACGAGACAAAAACACCCTCCCCAAAAAACACACAAGCTATCGTACCCCCTCCATGGCTAGAATTTGTTTTGTGCACCATGTGGGGAATGTTGAGCCAGAAATGACACTTCTTGACGCGTTTTAACATTCTACTTCTTGATGTTGTGTGTGTGTATTGGCATATTGGTTTAGGCTTTTAGGGTTGGTTTAGGGGGGTTTGCGGTTTTTAAGGTGTAGGTTTGTTTAGGGTGGGTTTAGGGTTTTACCCCCTGCCCCGCGGGTGGTTTAGGGTTGGTTTGGGGTGGTTTTAGGGTTGGTTTCGGGTTGGGGGGGGGTTTCTGCACCATACCTGAGCAAAGGGGGGGGGCCACAGGACATGGTGCCTGGGATACTCAGGTTTTTGTCAGGCCTTTGATCAACATTTCAACTTTTTGCTGTAAACATGAATGTAAAATGCACTTCCGCGCTTCTAAAAAAGATGCTCTAAAAATGCACTCCTTCGGTCGACTTGTATTCTAGAATCAGCACTTACTGCAATAAAGGATGTGCTAGCACGTGCTAGATTGAAGATTCTCTGACAACTCTTTCTGGGATTCTTCAAATCTGTACTCAGTGCAAGTTTTGGCTGTGCTAGCACGTGCTAGTCAATATTGGTTTGTCCTAGATATGGATTTGAAGACTTCCAGAAAAGTGGTCAGAGAGTCTTCAATCTATCTTCAACCAGGATGCGCTAGCACGTGCTAGCACCTCCTGCATTGCCCGAAGTACAAATTTGAAAGAGTTGACAGAGAATCTTGAATCTTCAATCTTCAATCCAGGATGCGGCACATGCTAGCACATCCTG